AAAAAAAAAATTTAAATGACCTGTATAAATTGCTAGAATTTGTCACTTTGTTGTAGCAAATGTTTTAAAAATTCCATATTTTCAGATACCTACTCACAAAACATAAAAATTAATGTTTCTTAGCTGTGAAACATGCCAGTGAAAGTATTCACCAAGCAATCATGATTTGAATATTTGTTTTTACGCAAAGTTAAGTACCAGGAAAGAATTCCACAGCTTATAAAATAGATAGTCCTAAATGAAGTGTGAAAGTTGCCTTGGAGCCTGTGGTGAGTTGAAAACAGGACATACCTGACTGGAAGTTCTGAAGTTCCCGTCCAGGTCAAACAGAGCACATTTTGTCAGTGTACTTGTGTTTTTATGTCCCCAAATATAATTGTCCTGGTTTTTAATTCTTATTGCAAAAGGCAATATTCAAAAATAGTGAATTTTAAGCCTATTTCAACTCCAAGATTTTGCTTCTGGGGATATCCACCTCAGTTTGTTTTTTCATTTGCAAACTAGAAAATACCATTGATTTCAGAATGGGTATTGCATTGCAATCAATGGTATCCATGATGTTTGTCAAATTTATTTTTGAATCTGGATAAGGCAGCTTATTGCAGCTAAAGAAAGCTTCATGTTTAAAAATTGGGTACTGTAGACTAATTTTAAAAAGACTAAGCTTGTGTTTGTGGTTTTGCCATGAGCCAACTGGCTCTGTGATTTTGATTTGGGGTCTTAGCTTCAGGTTTTTCTCTCATATAATGGGAGTAGTAGTATTTGCTTCACCAATCTTCCATACTAGGACAGTTATCAAAAGAGAGAGATGTGAGAAGAATCTAGGAGGTACGAACTGGTTTCTGAAAATGATAATCAGCTTACTTTCCATAGTGGAAGTCTGGTGGAATTTTGTGTGTGTGTGAGGGTGTGTGTTTGTACATGTACATACTTTACTTATCATGTGGTCTGTGAAGACTGCTCATCAATTGAACTGTGATACAGATGCTCAGCACTTCCCAGGAATGATTTCAAATCCTGGCAGCAACCCCATGATAGGTAGGTAGAGCATTCTGTATTAGATCTTCATTGCCATGTAACAAATTACCACAAATTTAGCAGCATAAAACTATGCCCATTTATTACCATCTGTAGGTTTGAGGCCCAGGCACAGCATAGCTGAGTTCCCCACTAAGTGTCTCGCAAGACAGAAACCAAAGTGTTGGCAGAGCTATCATCTTGTATGAGGCTCAGGGTCCTCTTCCCAGTTCATCCAGATTGTTGGCAGCACTCAGTCTCTTGAGGTGATATGACTAGGGTTCATGTGTTCTTGATGCTTGTCAGCTGAGGATTTGTCTCAGCCTTGGAAGCCATCTTCAGGTCCCAAACCTGTGGCCCTTTCCCCACTGACAGTTTACTTCTTCAAAGCTAGAACCAATTGCTTCTTTTGTGCTTATATTCCATCTTATATTGTGGAACCTAAGCAAGGGAGTGGTTATCCCACTGTATTCACAGGCCCTGCCCATACTCCAGGAAGGGGATTATGCTGAGTGTACTCTCTGGGGCATGAGGATCTTGGGGGCCATCTTTTTTTGCCATCTGAGTAACCCCATTCTGCAAATGGGAGAGAATTGTCAGGGTATTATACTTCTAAGCCAAAGTCATACAGCCAGTACTGACAAAGCAGGGGGTTAGTTGATCACTACTGACATTCCAGACATAAAACACTTCTATTTTAGACTGGTGGGCAGTCACAATATCTTTAAGAAAACAGCAGGTGGGGACAACTGAACAGCCAGGTTTGTCAAGCCTTGAGATGACTGCAGCATAGTCCAGAGTTTCCCAAAGTGTCAACCATGGGTAGGGGTCAGTTAGGAACTATTACTGTGTATTGATGTCAGGACAAAAATCAAGAGTACTTGTTTAAAATATTTATAACATTATGACATTGCTGTGACATTTAAGCCATTATAGTTTTGTGTCTTAAAAAAGTACTAGACTCCAGTGAATTAGAAAGCAGATCCACAATAGAACAAAAGCAAAAACCCACTTACATAGTGAGTCCTGGGGTAGAGCACAGATGGTCAGTATTGATGTCCTCACATAGGGCCCAGTGCCTTGTACTAAAGAGCTGAGCATCACATTGGCCTCTTGGATTAAAACAGCAGCTGGCATCTTTGACAACTGTTTGTAGTTAGTAGACTTTGCACACTTTTTCTTGCTAATCCAAGCTTGAAAATACTCTAACCAAATTTCCCAAGGATCAGAGTATTCTGATGTCCCATAGATGTTCCTGTGTTGTTTTTTAAAGTTGATGGAGAAGTTGTCTTCCTGGCCTGCCAAGCAGTCAAGATAGGTTGACAAAGTTGTCTCAAGGTTCTTTTGATGGCAAGTGGCCAATACCCACAGGAATCAGCATTGAAAATGAGAATTTGTGGTATAGCAACAGAAATGTGTGAAGGAGCTTGAGAGAGTGAGGTTGGGCCTAAGGAAAGAGCTCTTTGTCTCTCACCTCTGCTGCTCTGTCTTCTGGCTTCCTTCTCCTTCTCTGGTTTTCTCCAAGCCCCTTTGCACCATTGTGGACTGTTGTTTGCCTCTCTTCTCTTAGGTTCACATGCCCTTACTTAAAATATCCCACAGAGAATGACAAATGTCTCCAGCCTCCAGTTCCAAATCTTCCAGGAAGAGTATCTAAGGATCCCAGCTCTGTCAGATATCCACTCTTCAGAACACCATTGATTAGGACAATATGGCATATGGGCCCCTTCTGGTGAGTTTTCAGTCAGCACTCAGAGAGGGGGGCCATGTGGGCTGGGCAGATGCTCCAGAATGTCTAATAAATCAACCCGTGTATAGATCTCAAGAGGACATATTAACATTCTCTACATGGAGGGCATGTTGATTAGCTTCCTAAAAGAATAATTAGTGAAGACCTTTTTGACACTGTGTAGCTCAATCATTGCCTAAAACATGGTCCTGTTTTCATTAAGACAAAATATCAAAACAACAGGGACATGCAATTTTATCTTCTTGAAAAATCTCTCCCTTCAGAACAGAAAGACCTCAAGCAACATCTAATTATTCCTGTGCCTCTTAATTTGATAGCTTGAAAAATGTTTTGTAGTATTTAAGAATGTCTTTGGAAATCTCCTGTTCTTGCCACAGATCAAATTGTTTAAATGATGGACAGCGATTTTATATTGAGCTGTGATAATAGTATCTCATTTGCTGCTACTTAAGTGATTTTTTTCCCTCTTATCACATGCAGGTCAAGTTACTCCTTCAAACTTAAGAAAATGAATAAAAAAGGTTGGCAAATGGAAGAAAGCCAATTATGCAACAATTTTAGATTTTTGAAGTAAGACCATTGCATTTCCCAATATTGATTACTCTTCACTTGATTATAGTGACTCTCTTCAGCTGTTTATTACAGTATGGATCATAACTCATAGACTGCACTTGTTCCAAACTAAAAATAAGTGCAAGGAAGCAGAATAAGAAAGGAGGTGAATGAAAAGTAGCATTTTTGACATCAATAAATAACCATCAAGTAAATAATCATATTTAACTTCTCTAAGCATTGTATTTGACTAACAATATATTGAACTACTCTTGTCAGAGAAACTTGGATTTCTTCATGTGTACTAGGTCATGCATTTCCCTTTATTTATAATAGGTTGAAGATAAATTTTATGTTATTTCTGTGTGATAGGAGATAAATGGAGGAATGAAATGGTTGCCAGCAGTTGCTGAGTTTTGTATGTAATTTTTTTTTTTTTGGCAGTACTGGGGCTTGAACTCAGGGCCTTGCACTTGCTAGGCAGGCACTCTACCACTTGAGCCATGCCCCCAGCCCAGTTGCTGAGTTTTGTGATCTGAAATTGTATGGTGGAACTCAAGCCTGGCTCACCTCACACTGTTGAACCAAAGATGTGGTTCACAAATTGTATCTTCATCTTTGAGTGAGGTGGGGGCCACTTCAAATATCTTGCAGTCCTCTATTGTCTTTGCTGAATATTTACTCAATATTCATGTGAATGTCTTCTGGGCTCAAGCAAGTCCTGACCTTAGAGGACTTCTATCCTTGTATCCTAAAATACAAGGCAGAAAGTGTGGAGAGACACGAGGGATGAGCAGGTAAAGAGAGAAGTCATTTATTCAACAAATGTGTCGAATGCCTGATGGAGATTAGGAACTGTTTCCCAAACCTTTTCCTTTCCTCTTTTGTTTATTCTTTTCTTTCCTTCATTCATATATTCAGCCCATGCTTACTGACTAAATACTATGTGTTAGAGTTTGCAAAAATCTCAGGTGGATAAAGTAGTCTGACATCCCAGATTTTAGCCTGATAGGAGAGGAATAGGCCAGGGAAAGACAGGAAGAGGGCATTTATTGTTAAACAGGCACTGATGGGCAGGAGGTTATCACCCAAGCCCAAGGTATCCAGGGATGGAAGCAGGGAAGGGTCTGTTCTGCAGCTGATGATTGCTTACAGAAAACACAGATGAAGTGCATCTGTCAGCTCAATACAGAGTCATCAAATGTTGCAGTGAAGGGGGACTGGGACCCCCAAGTAAGTAGACATTCATTCGGCAAGTTTCACAGAAGGTGTTGAAGGAGGAGGAGGAGCTTGTTGGGCAGGGTGAAATGAGTTTCATTAGAAGGCACCACATGTGGAAAAGAGATACTTCCTTGTCGGCTCAACGATGACGGTGTGGGAGTCATTTTTCCCAGTATTCTATTCTTTATGTAGAAAATCTCTTGAAATGAAAGAGGAGTTAGATTTTCCTGTTGAGAATTAATAACCCTAGGGCTAGAGAATAATTTGCTCTGAAACTTGGAAAGAAAATGTAAAATACATTTTCCCCTGGTTAGAAAATGTTTTAAACCCATTAGGATGCAAAGATTAGGGGCTTAGATTGGGTTCACAGGCGATGTGCCAGCTCCACATATGTGCTGGATTATTGTTTTGAAATGATGCAGGCATTTTGCCCATAACCAAGATTTCTTTATACAACTGAAAAGCCAAGAGAGGAATCTTTGAGAGAGGCCCATACATTTCACCTTGGAAACCAATAGCTTATGTTTTCCATAGACATGATTCTTGTATTTTGGAATCTGCTTTTCTTAACTTTCCTTCTTTTCCAGATGCCTTCTGATAAGCAAAAGACAACTGTGTGCTTAACTCTGCACATTTGCATTATCCCAAATTGTCTTAGAAATGCACTTAAGATTTTTAGAAGAGGCTACACTCCTAAAGAAGCAGATAGGAAAAAAAAAAAAAAAAACCAGGGACGATGAAGCAAACATATTCTGCAAGTAAATGTGGCGGGAATCCAAGCAACTGCCAGGTGGAAGTTGTTAGAAGTGATAAAATGGTTATTGACTTAGGATTCATCCATCCTCACCTGCTCACATTTGATGAACTGCCAAATCTAATTCTCTTAGTACCAACTTACCTTTTCTAATAATTTTCTACTCCGACAGCTGTCCAGTCATATTGCTCAGAGCTGGTTTTTATTATTGTTGTTTTTTTTAACCTACAAGATTAACAAAAATCTAAAATTTTTGTTAATTTTGTGCACTAAAATCTAAAATTTGCTCAATGGATTTACTTTATCCTCTATCAAAGAAGGTGTTTCTTTAAAATTGGTTAAAGCATGGAAAGGCAGACAATGCCTGTGAATGCCAGCTCTGCTCTCAACCCCTTTGTGGGTACTGGGAATGTCCTAGTCATCAGTACTCAAATGCCCTCACTGTATTGTCTTCAGATCTGCTGGTTCAAAGTCTTAAGTGGCCTCTCTGTGAACCAGCATTCAGAGAGAGGGATATGGGAAAGTCCAATTTCAGCCACCTACCATTTCATCAGAAGAAGCAGTTGTCAAATGTCCTTAGGTCAAGAGGAGTGCAGGGCTCACCAGGGACGCAGCTCACCAGAGTGTGGTGTAGACATCCTCAGAGATTAAGGCTAGAGGGAAGTGCAGGTTTCAGAGACTTGGAAGAGCTCTGGCCACAAACTCTGCTGCTTAACCTGGTGCCAAGCAGAGTGCATCCCAGTCTTTTGGTAGAGCCTTTCCAAGTCTTGTCAACTTGTCTTCCCACCTTTTAGTGGATTCTAGTGTCTCTTGGTTTTCTCAGCATTGTGCTTTTCCAGAATTCCTGGGCCATGTTTCCACCAGCCCCTTTGGACTTCCTGACACTTTCCTGGTCACTGACCTTGCTGCAAAACCTTACCTACCATTTGCATGCTGACTTCTAGTACTGATCTGTCCTGTGATTCACCATCCACTGTCTGCCTGTTGCTTGTAATGTTAGCCATCAACAAAGTGGATGTAGTATTGCTGGTTTTCACAGAGCAACTGTGACTTCTTACAGCGCATAAATTAGGTGTTTGTCTTAGTGTGAAGTATTGGAACTAAGGGTTATTATAGAAGGAGGGAGATTTTATTAGAATGCATATGCATGGGTTGGTGTTCATGTTTGACTTATTTTGTTAGTCATTGTTATTTTGATACCACATCAGGATTGCCTATAACATGCATCAGATCCAATACTACTTATTTGATTACACATTTAACTCTTTAGCTGTTTTGTGCAGTCTTCAAGGGAAGGGACTGCGTCTTATTACTCTTTGCTTGATAAATAATGGTTGGGCTTCTTTTAAGAGAGAGAAATAGAGGAGCTGGCAAAATGGCTCAAGTGGTAGAGTGCCTGTCTAGCAAGCAGGAGGCCCTGAGTTCAAACCCCAATATTGCCAGAGAGAGATTCCAGGTAAGTCACTGATCCCATCTGGCTCATGTAAGTTTTAGTTTTCAACATAAAATCAGCATATGTGGTATAACCAGTTTAATCATCAACACCTGTGTCCTAGAGCAAATTAGTTTGGAGTGGGGGACAGGGTTCTCTTATAACTTCCCCTTCTTGCTATGTTAATCACCTTATTTAAAATCCTACAAAATAATAAAGGCTCAATTAGCATAATATAAACAATTAGATATACTATTATAATCTCAGGGCTATGACATTTTGCTTAAAAGGTTGTCGGTTTGTGTGTGTATGTGTTCCAAGCCTGAGAAATTACAAAGGAGCATTGTTCTTTTAAAGAACTTGTAAAGTAATTTAATCACACAAAACCTGAGTGGACTGGGGAGCATAAATGGTATTTAGTAACATGGAAGCTACTCTAAATGCCTGGCTGTAGGACTGAGGAAATAAAAATGTCAGAGCCTTGTACTTTCTTGCAATCTCTTTCTCATTTTCCAGCCATCGCCCCTAGTAGCCTCTGCCTCTCACCACCCTGGATCACTTTCTCTAGCACCTCTTTAAACTTAACTTAGGATGCAGTTCAGCCCAGAGACATAGTGCAGGCTCTAGCCCCAGCCTTCCTTTCTGGACTTATCTGGTTCTGTAATAGACTGGTGAGCCCTTGTTCCCAAGGTACACCTTGGCTTTTCCCTCCCAGAATGTCTGCCTGCCTGCCTTCCTCTGAACCCACCTAAATCCCAGTCACCTTGACTGCTCAGATTCCATCTCCTCATGCGAAGTTCCCCTGCCTGAGTAGTGGGAAGTCATATGCTCTGTTCAACTCTTTCAACTCCTTACTAATAGGACCCCTTATTTGAAATCTGACAAATAGTATTAGGCATGGTTGTTTATTATTGCTACACGAGACTATAAGTCCCTAAAAAAAGGAGATAGTTTTAATTATTTTGAAGTTCCCTTCAGTGTCTAGCCATGCTTTCTTCCATTTAGTAGATGCTTAAGAAGTTTTGTCAACTAATTAGCATCATGCTTCTTAAGATCAGATGTTCTTAATTAAATTTATAGTTTTTTTTCTTGCTATTACATATGAATGGGGAAAAACCTTTTTGGAATGAGGTGACTTATAACTAGTAATAAATTATCGTAAACCTTATGAAACATTATTGCAAATCGATGATCTTTCCTCCATTTAGTGTCTACTTACCCAAGTTCTGAGAACATTTTCAATTAACACCAGCTGTATCTGTGACTTGAATTGACCTGCAATTCAACTAGATGCCATCCGAGTTGCAATTCTTAGTATCCAATAGTTACATATTCTCAATATAACATACTTGTAAGGATCATTTTAATAGATTTATTTTACTTTTATCTCAATAACATATATTAGTGTTTCTTGGCACAGTTATTGCAATCAACATTAATTCAGTTAGCTAATTGAAAATAGGTTGTTGTGCTAAAATTACATAGACCTGAGTGTGATGCCACACATCTGTTATCTCAGGTACTCTGGAGGCAGAGACAAGAGAATGGAGAATTCAAGGCCAGCCGAGGCAAAGGTAGCAGTGAGACCCTGTCTTGAAAACAAAGGGGATG